TGACTTTGCCAGGGATGGCCGTGTGATCAGCCTAAAGTCATTTATCTTCTCTGATCCGCGTTTCTAAAGTGCGTGTGTGTGTGTGTGTGTGTGTGTGTGTGTGTGTTAAACTCTCATTAGGTTTTGGGGAAGTGAGTGTAAATCCCGCTTTTGGTGAAGATTGATATAAGTACAGATATGCTCTGAGACTGGCCTGGAGTCCCAGAAACACGTACGTTGCGGAACATAATTCAAAAGAGTTAATGCTTTGGACAGAAGTTGCTCATGTGCAGTTTGGATGAACGATGAAAATAATTGACTATTTTTCAGGAAAGTTTTATTTTATTTGTGAATTTAGGACTTTGTGTTTTCCTTCCTGATGGTGTGATAGCCTTATTCTTCAGTTGGGTTCCTTTGAGCTTAATTTACCAGTGATCTGTAAACAGTGTTTCTGTCAATCTGCTCCACAGTTGAGCTGACTCTTTGCAATTATACATTAACTTTAATGCGTAATCCACAATTTCCATGAATTTATCTATAATTTTCAGTAATCTATAATCTGGTAGATGATTCTATTCCACTCGGTTCATGGATGAACCTCATATTACTCACTTTCCAAAAAACTTGAAACAGACCATATGAAGAATCAGGTGAATCTTTCTGTTTGATAGAAAATAATTTACTTTAAATTTAAAAAGTTAGCCCGGGGTACCTGGGTGGCTCAGTCAGTTAAACAGCTGCCTCTCGATTTCAGCTCAAGTCATGATCTTAGTTAGGGTCTTGAGATGGAGCCCCACCTCTGGCTCCACACTCAGCAGGGAGTCTGCTTGAGATTGTCTCTCTTCCTCTCCCTTTGTCCCTCATTCTCTCTCTCTCTCTCTCTCTCTTTCTCTCAAATAACTAAGTAAATCTTTAAGAAAATAAAAAAGATTATCTTGCCCTCTCCATCTGCCCCAGCCCCTCCTCCATTGCTTGTGCACCCACTCTATTTCTCTCTCTCAAAAAAAAAAAAAAAAAAATTAAGCCTATTAGCTGAATTGTGTTTTAGAGGAATTGAAACATTGTGCATGGTATTGGAACTAGTGATGCCTTCTTCTTGGTTTTATGCCTTTTTTTTTTTTTTACCTCAAAGACTAGTACAGAATGTCCACCACTTAGATATAATTGATAGGATTTCCCAAGTTTTGAATGTCTCAACTAAGAGTTTAAGGAAAGAGGCTACATGAATGAGTGAGAAGCCATAACCTTCCAGGGTTTCTTCTGGTTGGTTATTGACTAAAGCACACGCTGGTACATCTATCTCAGCTAGGGCTGCCATGCCGAGGGTAAGCATGGTGCGATATCCATACCTACCAGGTACCTGTGGATCTTAACTCTTCTTGGTCATGAGTCTCTGTAACAATTGGGAGGAAGTTATGGACGTGCTCCTCAGAAAACAACACACTTTCTCCTTTCCATAAAGCTTGACATAGAATTCTGGGGAATTCACACGAACTCCTGACTTCGCTCTATCCCTCTCCTCCCCTCACCACAGTTCACTGAACATGGAGGCTTTCTCTCACTATGCTTGACCACACTGATTTTTTTTCTAAAAAATTTTATTTATTTATTTATTTATTTATTTATTTATTTATTTATTTATTTAGAGAGAGAGAGCACAAGCAAGGAAGGGAAAGGGGGAGAAGCAGACTCCCCGCTGAGGAGGGAGCCTGACTTGGGGCCTGATCCCAGGACCCTGAGATCATAACCTGAGCAGAAGGCAGCCACTTAACTGACTAAGCCACCCAGGTGTCCCTAACTTATTTTTTTATAATGACATGAGTCGGACATTTTCTGGAAACCAAGAATTAAAGACTGGTCAGAGCATTTTTAGGAACAATAAGATATAGACATATTGGTCTTGGTCCCCAGATCCTGACACACAGCTATTAGAACCCTTGGAATCTCCAGAGTGATAAGAGTGTCTTGTATGCTGATGGGATGACTGGTGGTTGGGGGCCCCTGACAGCCTCAGGATGGAGGGCTGATTGCCAGAAAGACAAGGGCATGTTTAGAGAGTTGGAGTTTTCAGCCCTACCCCCCAACCTCCAGCAAAGGGAGAGGAGCTGGAAGTTGGGTGAAGCACCTATGGCCAGTGATTTAATCAATGATGCCATGTAATGAAACCTCCATACAAACCCTTAACTGACAGGCTTGGAAGAGCTTCTGGGTTAGTGAACACATGAAGGTGCTGGAAAGGTAGAGCACCTCAAGGGGGCAGGGAAGCTCTGTGCTCCTTCCACCTTATGTTGCACTATGCATTTCCTCCCTTTGACTGTTCCTGAGTCTTATCCCTTATAATGAACCAGTAATAGTACATAAAGCACTTTCCTGCGTTCCGTGAGCTGTCCTAGCAAATTGCTGAACCTGAGGAAGGGGTCACAGGAACCCTCCATTGGTAGCCGGTCTGTCAGGAGTGGCCGTGGCCATCTGGCACTTGCACCTGACGTGTGGAGTGGGAACAGCCTTGAGGACCCGAGTCCCTCAACTGCAAGGTCTGCACTAACACTTTATTTAGTGTCAGATTTGAACTGAATCTTTGGACCTCAGTGGGTGCCTGGAGAATCAGAGAATCGGCAGGTGTGGGGAAAAGATCTGCACATTCCATGTCGAAAGTGTTGTTGGTAAAGACGGTTCAGAATTTGCCCTCCCTTCGAGAGTTATTAAATACAGTGTGCCAGGGACTCACATGCCACCTGGCTGTGTCCGCTGTGGCCAGGTTCCTGTAGGTGATCCCGTATACTTAAGATACATTCCATCGTACATTAAGCTTGTTTGGATCTACCTCTATTCCCTAAAAACAAATTGCAACCCTCTTCCACTGCTGGTAGGAGTGTCAAATGGTGCGGTCACTTTGGACAACAGCCTGGCGATTCCTCAAAGGGTCAAACACAGAGTTGCCAACTCTCTGGCAACAGTACTACTCCCAGACATATAGTCAAGAGAAATGAAAAATGTAGGTCTACACAAAACCTTATATGGATAGAAAACCAGCAGCGTTATTCATGATAGCCAAAACGTGAAAATATCCCAAATGCCCATCAACTGATGAACGCCTGTATAAAATGTGCTGTAGCCATATGGCAAATGTTAGTCAGCAATAAAAAGAAATGAAGCAGTGATGTATACTGCAACCTGGATGCACCTTGAAACCAGTGTACTAAGTAAAAGAAGCCAGTCCCAAAAGATCATATATTCTGTGGGTCCATTTATATTAAATGTCCAAAAATGGTAAATCCATAGACACAGAACACAGATCAGTGGCGTCAGGGCCTGGGAACAGGGTGGTAAAGGGGCGTGACGGTTCCAAGAATGGGCTTTCCTCTCTTGCATTGTGCTGATGGTGGTCGTACGACTATGTGAATACACTAAAAGCTACTGGATTGTACACTTTCATTTGTATGGTACATGAACGACATCTCGATAAAGCTGTTCCCAAAAAAGAAAACAGGCTCTGGATCCAGGCTGTTTGTGTTTAAGTGCCTCTGGAAGGGGCACATGGGTGGCTCAGGGGTTGAGCATCTGGCTTTGGCTCAGGTCGTGATCCCAGGGTCCCAAATCGAGTCCCACATTGGGCTCCCTGCATGGAACCTGCTTCTCCCTCTGCCTGTGTCTCTGCCTCTCTCTGTGTGACTCTCATGGATAAATAAATAAAATCTAAATAAATACGTAGATAAATGCCTCTGGAAGTTCTGGTGTCCTGTGACAGGGATTCTGGGTGCAGGTACTATATTTGGAAAGCTATTAGAGGAAGCATGGTCAAGAAGTAGGAAAGTGAGCCGGGGAAGGAAGGAAAACCAATAAAGGTGCATTAATTAGTGAGATACCACTGGTGACAAGTAGGTCTCCATCCTTCTGGGACTGAGCAAAGGCTTTGGAGATGGCAATTCAGAATTGTCCCCCCAGGGAATGAGAAGCTGGGTTGTTCCTACGAATGCCGACCTCCTAGGACTTCCAGCCTGCCCCACACAAAGGCAAAGCATGCTTCCACAACCAGAGGAAGCCCACAGACAAGAAGAGAGATAGAGACAGAGACAGAAACAGAGACAAACAGAGAGACATGCAGAGTCAGAGTACGCAAGAACTGTTCCCCAGACCAACGGGTGGTGCGTCCAGGGTGACGAGGGGATGTGGGCAGAGCATTGACAGCACCTGCTCACAGGGGTGTTATTTAACCACTCTGAACCTTGGTTCCTGCGTCCTTAAAGTGGGGGAAATAATAGCTCCTATCTCGTAAGGGTGCCGTGAGCATTAATGAGTTAATGTATCAGAGTATTAGACACAGCCAAAAAAAAAAAAAAAAAAACTCATCTTGGATCTTGATTTTTCAAACTTCTGACTTCTCCATGATCATTTCTCTCCTGAATGGGCTTCTAACAAGATAGAGAATAAATCTGGCTATTATAAGTGTCAAAGAAAAATAGAATCGTTGCCGAGAATAGTCTTATTAGGCCCTCTTTGTGTTATCAGCTCTGAAGGGCTGCCTTTTGAAATACACCATATGCTTTGTTGGCACATTAGGCAGATGCCCATCCCAGCAAGATCTGTTCCTGGAACAGCTCTATAACCTCCCAGTCTTGCTCTTCTATTTTATGAAAACCGCTGGTGGGATTCAAGCAAGAGAGGTTCATCACAGCACTGTCTGGGACTTTCCTTTGTGTCTCTCCCTATTTTCCCACAGCTCTGTTCTGAGGATAGTCAGACCCTAGCGAGCTTTCTTTCTGTGACGCTTCTACAGTGTGTGGCCTGAAGCCAGTGGCTGCCATCCCAGGCAATTCTGAGTTCTACTTCTGTCAAAGGCATTTACCTGTAGTACGTTTCCTTGCTCATAGATGATTAAGACGGCCCCGCTGGGGAACAGCCAGGGTAAAATAGGGTTAAAAAAAAAAAATCCAACTGTGTTACATGGAGCTCCAGCTGTCATGATTAAAACTTATTTTAAAGATTTGTTCACCCAAGAAAATATCTCTGGATTGTTTCAGGCTGTGACTCTTCAATTAAGCTGACATTTCACAAATCCAAAATTGCTGTGGATGAGCTCTTTGCCTCGCTTCGGGATATCGCTGGAGCTCGGAATCTCATGAAACAGTTTAAGTCTGTGTATGTTCCTGGAAACCATACCCACCAGGCAAGTACATATGTTTTAAAGTAACCATCTAATCTGTGTTGTAGTTTTAGGATTCAGAGACTGCAAAAAAAAAAAAAAAAAAAAAAAAAAAGGTTTCCATTATGGCCTCTCTACAATGAGGGATTTGTTCTAGATGAACTCCAAGGCTCCTTCCAGTTGAGAGATCTGGGTTCGCCTGAGTCTGAAAGCCTCTTGATTCATTTGCACCACAGGCTTGATGCAGGGAGATGAGCACTGGACTGGGGGCCAGCCACTGCTCTGTAGCTGTCTGTAGCTGTCACATACTTATTCTACAATCTTAGGCAAGTCCCATTGGGCCCTAGTTACTGTGGGTGCTGGTGAGGATCTGGCCTGTGATTCCCAGGCTTCTAGATCTAAGCAGTCCCAAAACATTCTGAACAACTTGAACAAAATTACTTGATAATACTGTGGCAAGAAAAAAAGAAGTATGTGACAGCAAAACCTTTCTTATTTGACATCCGCCCCCACCCCCACACACTCATACTTGCTAAGGGCAGTGGGGGAATTTAGAAGAGTGTTTTGAACAGTGATTGGGAAGATAGTATGAGAATCCAAGATTAAAAGCTCAGTGACGGGGGAGGGGCCACAAAGACCCAAAGGGAAGCTTAAGGAATGAAGAAGAGCTGGAGTCATTGAAGCCGGGCCGTCCCTATTGGACAAGGATGGAGACAGAACTAAGGTTCCTGGTGGCCAAAGATGAGCGCTGAAGGAAAAACAGATGTTTCTGATGGGAAAGCTCATTAGTGGAGTGGGTACAAGCATCTTCCCCTTCGTCTCCCCATGAAATCTCAGTAAAAATCCACTCTATTTGCTACAACCGTTTGGGGAGCTGAGTGTGCTGTTAGTGGGGACTCTGCCATAGTGAGGGGTTCAGCTTCAGGAAGGATGCTGGTGCTTTAAGCTGGGCATGTAGACAGGAGCTAAGGCTATCTACTATAGCTAGCAAAATCCAGACTCTTCCTCCCATATAGTCTTATAGTAGCCGATACTTGAAGAGTGCCCCCATATTTGGCTTGTCCTTTGATCCTCACAAGAAGTAAGCCAGGGAAGCATTATTACCAAGATTCAGGAAGGCCAGGCGACATGACACAGACACGCAGGTGGCCAGGGCCAGATGCAGGGTTTGGGCCCAATACAAAACCTCCTCCCCGCCGTATCATGGATTTCATGGAGGCTCTAGAAATACTGGTTGATGGTCCTGATGGGCATCTGAAATCACCCACCAACATGTGAAAGACCTTGGAAACTAGCTCTCAACTTAGTAACATAAATTCCCATCCTTTGCTCAATGACCTGAGAACACCACCACCAAAAAATACAGACAAAATCACTCAGATCATTCATCATATGTAGTCTGGTCCCTGAAAAAGTCTCCAGTCTTAAGTACAGCGGTATGGACTAGGTCTAGGAGACACAGAACTGGTGGTTTATGATGAGATTTAGACCAAGGAATGTCAAGAAGGAAGTGGCTGCTATAGTTGATAAAGTGCAAATAAACCAGTAAGGGAATAAGCTTTTTTCAGTTTTGTGACCATTGTGACTAGTTTAGCCAGATTCACATAAACATGCATTAGCTATAAATCTCGGGCATGATAAGGACGATGATAAATTTCCTAGACTTTATCTCCCTGCTGCCAACACTGTCATTTTCTGGACCCCAGAACCCTGTTCTGCGGTTATGGCCTTGGGAACCCTGTTCCGCGGTTACTCCCTTACAGTGAGTCAATGCCATCAACCCATTCACTGAAAATCCTAAATGTCAGTGAGTGGGAGATAGGGGCGAGCTGGGGAGTATGTGTGTATCTTAAGGGGATTTAGTAAATGATGATACAGACACATGCTGTGAAATGCTGTGAGACCATTAAAATGAATGAGATGACTCCAAATGTGCTTAGCAAGACTGTATGTGAATCCTTGGCTCAGGCTCCGCTTCTTGGAGAACTCAAACCAAAACAGAGGTTTATGATCTGTTCAATGAAGAAAAAAAAAAAAAAACAACCATGTAGATCATTCAAGTATTTTTCTATCTTCATTTAAAAAATAAAATAAAAACTATATGGTTATGTACATTTAGTAAGTTTTTAAAAATTAAGGAAAACTGTATAATGGTTACCCTGTGGGGGATGGGAAGGGTTGGAAGGACGAGGAGGAACTCTGACCTCCTGCTTTGTATTTATGTGGATAGAGAACGAGTTTTTGATGATATCATAGGTGATTTTTACCTGTCTGGGTTTTTTGATAATTTTTGAATTTAAAGTTTTTCAACCATAGACATAGGCCCAGCGAGGACAGGAATTTTGATCTGGTCTGTTCACTGCCGTATCCTCGGGTCTAGAGTGGTATTTCCCATATAGTGAATGCTTAACGAATATTTGTTGGGGCATCTTGAATGCAGTACATATATTTTCATCATATATTGGAGGATTTGGGGGATGCAAAGTATGTATAATGAGAAAGAAATAAATGTTGACATTAGAGTCAGAGTCCAGCTGTGTCTAGTTTTGAGGATGGGCCTTGACTGGGCAACTCTCTAGGTATTCTCCCACCTTAGTCCTCAGTCCTAAGCCTCCAGGAAAAATAAAATAAAAATTTAAAAAGTGTGCTTTCTATCTAGCTCCGTGCTATTTCTACAATGTCTAGTTGAGATGTTCTGGGCTCCCTGGGATACCGAGGAAAGCACTAGCCCTGGTCTAGCTGTAGATTCCTATTCCAGCTCTGACCAGTGCTGTGAATTCCCAGGGCCCCTACCTGCCCCACTCCCCCTTCTAGCACCCCTCTCCTCTCTCACAGCCACTCCCATTACCCCTGCTAGCACCTGAGGCACCTCTTCTTCTACCTCCGTCCCTTCACCCTAAAATTTAGGAAAGTATGTCAGCCACAGTCACAGGCCAGAGAGCAGACCACTCTCAGCATTTCAAGGAGAACATGATTTCATGCAAGAAATTAACTACATATATAATCTCTGGAAGAGCTAGAGGAGTGGGATCTAGACTGCATGTCCAGAAATGACCCCAGAAGGGCACTACAGACCCGGCTCTCCAAGGGAACTGTCCCACTGCTGGCTGCAGCCAGGAGAGTGGACATGATGGGGATCACAAGGCTGCCACTGAAGCTTTCAACTTGCAGAATATTCCACCAAAGCTGGACTCAGCACCCATGTTTGTCACCATGGTGTATCTGTAGGGCCTAGCTCGGTGCTTGCCACCTAGTGGGTGGGTAGGTTGGTGGATGGATGGATGGATGGATGGATGGATGGATGGATGGATTGAAGGATTCTGGACTAGGAGTCTTATCCACAATGGCATTTCTTATGCTCTTAATTCTTAGTGAGACAGAGGTTAGCATGGAGGTTAACAGCCCAGCAGAGCAGCATTGAGTTCATAGGTCCATAGGCCCACCAACTCCGTGCCCTGAAGCAGGTTACTTCACCCCTCTGTCCCTAGTTCCACCACTGAACCAAGGAGCTAATAATAGTAGTAGCGCCCTCATAAAGATGCTCAAATGATTGAGTAAATGTGAAACTCTTAGGACAGGAGCTGGCGAAGACAGCACTGGGTAAGCATTAGCTGTAACAGTCGCGGTGACGACAAAATAGGCCTCTTTTTCGTCCTCTCTTGTAGCATTTCTCCTCCTTTGCTGGGAGATGGGCCACATCGAAGGGGAATCATTCTCAAGCTGACTGTACTGTTAGCTGCTGGGTACGGTAAGGGTTTACAGCTAATGCCCGATGGTTTGGAAAGGTTGTGTTTGTTCCTAGACTCTAGTGAGTGGAAACCTAAGCCCCAGGTTGGCCTGTGCAGCAAGTCTTCTTGTGCTTTTGTTTCTTACTGCGAATGTTCCAGTATAACGGGAGGCTTCACCTCCTCCTTGAACGCCGCGGTGTTTGATGTGCAGCTTTCCCCGAGCCACAGCATCAGGAGGATATTAGGCCGACGTCTCAGGGCGAAGAGCTTATGTGCCCTTTCAGACAAAATGCTGTCTGACTCTTGCATGACTTGCTTTGGCAGAAGTCTCAAAGCGCTGTGCTGTGCTGTGCTGGAGAAGACTGGCCACAGATGCGTACTGTCTCTTGTGCCTCTGGCAGGCTGAGCAAGAGCATTTAGAACCAGCGGTGCCCAGGGAGGCCCGACTCATCTAGTGCCTGGTGAAATGTGGCTCTCCGAAGGGTCTGTAGGCCCAGGCTCTTCGTCAACAATCCCCAGCCCTGGCTGTTCCTTCCAAGCGCTAAGCTCTCTTCTTTTTCCTCCTCCTGATTCTATCTTCCTAACTCCAGACCTACTAGTGCCCCTTTTTTGAAAGAAGCCAACTCAAGATGGGACTACAGTGGGGGCCAGAACACTTGGCTCTGTCCTGTAGTCCACTTCTAAATGCCTAGGCAAACTCCTGCCAATTAGTTCAAGGCTTTGGACTTTGGGATTTATTTGTTTTCTGTTTTTTGTTTTTTGTTTTTGTTTTTGTTTTATATTGAAGGCAAAGGGACTACACTCAAATTTTTACCAAGTAATCTGCTGGTTTGAAGGAAGGATGGATAGATGGATGGATAGATGGGTGAACAGAGAGGCAAATGAACCACTTTTTAATCTGCAGCTCAAACCATTTCCTTTAAGAAGATGAAAGGAGGAAAAAAATCAGGGCTAGTATAGCAAAAAATAAAAATAAATAAGCCACGGAACAGTCAAAGCCATCAGCAGTTTTGAGCAGATGTTTTTTTCTGTACAGTCATGGATTGAGACAAAATGAATGCTCTCTCTACAAGTCTGGTTTTCCTGAGGACTTGGTTACTTAGAGTCAGTCTTGCAGAAAAGGGAGTAGCCTTCTCAGTAATCGGGCCGAGAGGGTCCATGGCTGCCCAACACCAACCACCAACCAACAAAGCCAAGGGCAGCAGCGCTGACTGATGAGATGTGGTTGTGGCAACAATTGAGATTTTCTTGGAAACTGATTATCTTGGGCCATCATGAAGGTGCGCCAAATTCAGG